TGTAGTGAACCTAGGCCCATGTCAAAACTGACCAGATGGACAGAGACTGTTATTTCATTGATCTGCATCCAGAAATACAGTTTGAGCCATCTGGAGACTTTCTTTCTTGAAGTAATCAAGTAGAAAAGACAATTCTCTATGATCATTACTATTTTACAAATGTTTGATAATCAAATTGTGTTAGTTCACTCAATGTTTACAGGTTGAAGAGAACTACTCATTTTATTTACATAAACAGTAAGTAATGATTTTTATTCCTCATTCAAAGAAGAAATCAGGGTAATATGCATTTCTTGATTTTTCTGTCTTCAATGAGCAAGTTTTGTAAGTATGTTAAAGGTCGAGTTTCGGTCAACTAAAATGTTTACTGAGAAGAAATGTCATGTTTAATCTTTACAGAAGATACAGGAGAGTTTGACTCCACGAAGTCTGGTTTTCTCCAATAATCTTTCTGTCTGTTTTTAAACAATCTCATTCTCTGCCCTTGACTTTGATAACACCTTACATCACAAACCACACCTCTGATCTGGTCTATCCACCAATCAGAAAGCTCTAAAATGACCCGGAAGTCAACTCATTTAAATGTGGCAACTTCCCGGTTCTCGCTAGAGCTAAAGAGTGAAAGAGAGTAACAGAGTTAAAGAGTGAAAGAGAAAAAGAGTTGCAGTTCTCCTGGAGAAGAGAGATGAAAAACTCTCTGATGCAGTTCTTGGAGAAGAGTTCCAGAGTTTAACTCTCTGAAGAGAGTTCTGAAGGAGTTCAGAATTCTGACATTCCAGGATGCAGAGAGGATTTTGGGAGTATAACTTCTGTTTGGATAACCTCGCACGACTCTCTAAGGGTTTGGCTGTCCTCATGGAGACGCTGAAAGAGTCAGAAAGGAACCCTACGCCGACGCTGATTTTATCATCAACCAGGTAGAAGGTTCTATTTTCGACCAAGTGTACCGTGGCCAAGCTGATTCCCCAAAGAGCGTGCACGTTTCTGGTCAAACAGATTAATTCCCTCACACATCTCTCTGTAAGATAAATCTCCATTTTCCATCTTAAACTCTCCTTTCTCCTAAAATCATTACAGATATTTTAGAAATATCTGAAGCAAAGTTCTCAATCACTGCCGTGTGATTGATGTCTACTGTTCTGCTGAAAGTGAGAACAATCTCTGTATTGTTCCAACTTTCTGTGAACTTGCCATTGTTATTGTTTTCATATTTTGCCAAATTAATGTAAATGTTTTATGTTAAACTTTGATTCTGCAAATAAATGACCGCATTCATTTGATGGGTCAAAGATAAATAACGTCTCTCGTTACATTTTTGTTAAACTCAACGCACGACATTTACACAGTCAGAAAAATGAAGAACCCGTCTTAAAATGTATGAATATATACGCATATGTCATACTACAAGTGCATAACTGAACATGATTATTTGAAGGTTGGCGTTTTTTGTATTAAAAACACTTGTCTTTCATTGGTGGGATGAAATATGCTAATTTTTTGGGACAGGCATTTTGGGTTTTCATGAGCTGTATGCCATAATTATCAGTATTAAAACAATTAAAGACCTGAAATATTTCAGTTGGTGTACAATGAATCTGAAATATATGAAAGTTTAATTTTTATCATTACATTATGGAAAATAATGGCCTTTATCACTATATGCTAATTTTTTGAGAAGGACCTGTAGACACAAATCCATTGTCTGAGACATGAGAATATCATTAGTTATGTTTACTAGTGCTGTTTCTGTGCTATGATGAGCTCTAAACCCTGACTGAAACTCTTCAAAGATAGTGATATCTTTTCGTGTTTGTGGTTGTGCACAAGTATGAGAAGTACTATATGTTCTTTTTGTTCAAATCTGATTTTCTCTGTTTGTGTAAAACTGAGAGGTAGATTTGATCTTGATACTGATTTTGTTTTTCCCCTCAGGTGTATGACAGAGTAGCTGGAGAAGAAGTTCTCCCACTGGCCAAGCGCTTCTGGAGGCTCCGGTCTCACTGCGGTCCTGTGGCCGGCACCATTTTCGCCTTTGTTGCAATTTTGGACTTCCTTTTCCTGCTGCTTCTACAGTGGTTGATACCAGATCGGTTCATGGATGTTGCTGTTGATGGCACTGGCCCTTGTGGACTGTGGAGACAGAGAACGGGAAAGCGAACTGAAACAGAATCCAAACGTGCCATGAAGCAAGCAGAGATATTATAAACGACTTAAACACGATGAAAGCACAATGCCTGTCCTTCAGTTTGGACTTAGTTTTTTTCCATCAAAGATGGTCCAGTGCTAGATTAGAGCTGGTTTTTACAAAAATGTTTTATGAAGTTTGATTTTCCACTGTTGGAAAGCCAAACTGGAGTCACATCATTACTTTACATACACTGTAGTCCCTCATTTATCGCGGTGGATCCGTACCCTGAAGCCCCACGATAAGTGAAAAACCGCGAAGTAGGAATAGTACAAGTAGTAAGTAGTCCATCCATCCATCTTTACCCGCTTCTTCCATTTTTGGGTCGCGGGGGTCACTGGTGCTCATATCCAGCTATCACTGTGCGAGAGGCGGGGGACACCCTGGACAGTCCATCACAGGGACACAAAGACAAACGAGACAAACAACCATTCACTCTCTTACTCACACCTAGAGACAATTTAGAAATTTTAGAGTTACCAATCAGTCTAACATGCATGTTTTTGGTCTGTGGGAGGAAAGTGGAGTACCAGGAGAAAACCCACGCATGCACGGAGAGAACATGCAAACTCCCTTGTCCAGGATTTGAACCAGGGACCTGCTTGTTGAGAGGCAGCAGCTCTACTAGCTGTGCCACTGTGCTGCCCCGGGGCTGAACTCATGATCCAGAAGTCCAGCCTGCACACCCTCCCAACTCGCCAGCAGTCACGTTGTTATTTATTATGTAACGTGACACTTTTAAAACTAAACATATTAAAATGTGATTATTTGATCATACAGCAGCAACATCAGATCCATGTTAATCAACAACGTTCAACACCTGAAAAAAATAACTGAAATGTATTTTTGATTTTGGAAAATGTCTCTTGTTATAAGAAGGGAGAGACTTAAAACCTGTACTGCCCTGCGAGAGGGCGTTTGTCCTTTGTGGTCTCAACTCTGGGTTCATCTTGTGTGTAGTTATAGTAAAACATATGAAGCGAAACAAGCTCTGGCACTTGTTTAACACTGGAGCCTGTATGATGGGGGAGGGAAAGTTTGTGTTTTTATGGTGCCAAACAGTTTTTAAACATGGCTCCTACATGAACTCATGTAAACCATCAACTTCAAAAACACTACCAGGCCAGGACAGCCGACTCAGGACCAGAAAGCTGCGGCCCAACTCCCAGCAAAATGCAGAGAACCATTTTCTTCATTGTATGGGGACATACAATGATGGCAACATATAGCACTTATAACTTTGTTTACATTTTTCTTAACAAAAAGGGACCTTGCATTTTATCACTGGCACTTAAAAGTTTATACGCTCTTTTTTAATGTTTTTCATGTCACTTTTACACTCCATGCTGGGCTGAACAGATGAAGTCAAAACTGGTACATGTACACACACAGGGAAGCAAAGCTATGGTAGAGCTCATTAGATGGCTTGTAAATTAGTTTTTGTGACAGTATTTATTAAAGCAAATGGTTTTTTTTCCAAAGTAGCTTTAACTTATTGCAACCTGTGAGGTTTTTTTCCCCAGATGATTTGTATGTCTTCAAGACAGTTTAAACTGGGAAATAAAATTGACTTTCCAATGAAAAGAAATGTGTTTATTAGTGTTTAAACTTGACTAACTAGACTGATTCTGAGAGTTTGTTTTTCCAACAAATTAACAAAAATAACATAACTCAGGAAGGAAGCACTCCAGAAATAAACTGCCTTCATGAAACAGGAAGTGATGGAGATCAAATGTCTTTCAGTGGAAATTTACAAAAAGATCATGACTGGAGATTTAATAATCATGCCTTTGGAAAACCTTTAGTTATGTAAACAGAACTAAGACAACAAATATAAATCTCTATATGAACTGGTGTATAAATAATAGATTTAATTTTTGGAGCCGAATATTCTGAATTTAACTTTTCGAAGTACATGCAGTGTTGCTTTATTTGAAGAGGATACTGTGTGTTGTAATCTTAAATTTGGCTCTCAGCTGTCCTTTAATTATGTAAACAACAACAATGTACAAAACTTATTCAAGTCTCTGCTCTTTCCTGTTTCACTCACATTTTGGGTTCAGGTCTTGTGCGAAATTCTGTTCCCCTGAAAATCTGTTCCTCCTTTGTTGGGAGCGCACACTGCAGCCAGAGAGGTGGATCCGACTGTCTCCTGGTAATAAACACATAAATAAACTCAATTAAATAACAAATAAACCTGATCTTGGGGTTACACAGTTTTGTGTTGTTTTTTAATAGCAGAGAGAATTCGTGTTTTTCCAACTTTTGTCATGTTAGCCTGACAAATATCAGCCACCAAACAGTTTTACAACACATCGTGTGTATTTATAATTTTTTATTGCTAATATAAAAGGATGGAAGCTAGCTGATAGCAGGACACGAAAAAATAGACTTCCTGAAAAGATAATCAGGTAATCAGGTCTCTCTCGTAAATGGGTGGCTCAATGGGATTAACCTGTATAAATAAAGGTTGAATGAATAAAGGCTTTGGTAAATCCCATTCAACATGACAATACTGGATGAAAGATGTTCCTAATTGCTATTTATTGGTAGTTATGTCTGTTTTTTGTCAAAAATAATCATATCTAGCATATAACCTTAAAATATCTAGCATTCTGTGATATATAAGAACATAGTTCCTCTCTTTTCAAAGGAGAAAAAAACCCTTTTAGAAACATCAAAGGGGAACACAAGATTTCAGCCTGAAACTCACACCCTGTAATGTTTTACCCCAATCATCTTGACATTTAGGTTGTTCAATCCCATCACACCTTAAGAATTTGAAAACATTTGCTCTTTATTTGCCAAAGTTACCTTAAGGGAACCGTTTCAGCCGTCTGAAATGATCAGTTCCCCCTCCATAACATGGGAACAAACTATTTTACCAGAATGACATTGATATGACTGATTTTTGTCAGACATGTCAGGCATAAATGAACATGACAAAAGTTGTAAAAAAACAAACAAACAAAAAACACTGATTCAAGTAAGAGGGCCGGCAATCGAGGAGGGGCGTACCAAAGAGACCATCTAATCACAAGCAGAACTGGTTTGTTCCACTTTGGAGTAAGCTGTTGGAGGAAGAATGAGTTTTGTTGTGCGTTTCCTTGACTGACGAAGCCTTCTGGATCGAAGGTGAAACATTTCAGCACAAAAAAAGAAACTGTCCAGATGACCTGACTGAAAAATGTTGGATTTTATACCTGGATTATTGAGCATGGACTTTGTTGAATCTCTCTGTGATTAAAAAAACAACACGAAACTGTGTAAGAAAAATCCAAAAAAGTTCAATCTGGTCCTCTGGACATTCAAAAAAACAAAAAACAAAACAAAGCAAAAAAATCTAGATCTGTTTTTTGTTTTTTTGAATGTCCAGAGGACCAGATTGAACTTTTTTGGATTTTTCTACCTGGATTATTGAGCATGCATCAGGATATGTGTAAGAAAAACCTCACACAAGACGAGGTTTATTTGTTATCTATTTGAGGCTTTTTATTTATTTATTACCAGGAGCTGTTGATTAAAATGAAAGTTACAGACGGTCTGATCCACCTCTCTGGCTGCAGTGCACGCTCCCCACACAGGGGGAACAGATTTTCACAGGGGGACAGACCACAAGACAAGACCTGGACCATTCAAGCTACTATTGTTATGCTTAAGAGGAGGGGGAGGTGACCCAGAACCCAGATAAGAGGGGGATGAAGGATGACTTCAGGTTTCTATTCAGTATTGGGCAAACTGCAGTTTTGTGAAGAAGTCTGCTGTTGTTTTCCTGATGGGTTCAAGTCCGACTCAAGTTTCGAAGAGGCCAAACCTTTTTCACATCTACGGTGGTCTGCCATGCAACTCTTTAATGGCTGGTGAGTTTAATTTTTGTATCTTTATTTAAAATGTGAGAGAAAAGAGGTTAAGTCAAATTTTGATTTATCTTCATATCAAGTTTGGCTCTGTGGTAGTCAACAACCAGGGTGTGTGCTGGTTTCTCATACTTAGGATTAAAAAGTTCCCCTAAAACTTGAAAAAACAAACAAACAAAAACAAAAAACAACAAAGCACTGACTCACATACAGTGCCTTGAAAAAATTATCCATATCCCTTGAACTGTTCCCCGTGTTGTCACAGTAAACCACAAACTTCAAAGTATTTAGAATGACAAAAAAGTAGCACATATTTGTGAAGTGTGTGTGTGTGTGTGTGTGTGTGTGTGTGTGTGTGTGTGTGTGTGTGTGTGTGTGGGGGGGGGGGGGGGGGGGCATGTTGTTGGTACAGTTTATTTCCAATTTGTTACAAGAAAAAAAAAGACCTGAAAAGTGTTGCATGCATTTGGTTTCAGCCCTCCTGAGTCAAAACTTTATAGAGCTGCCTTTTGTTACAACTACAGCAGCAAGTCCTTTGGGGTAAACTGTATCTACTGATACATGAACATTTTGACTTAAACCACTTCATTGTTGCTCTGTCTGGATGTTCCTGGTTGTCCTGCTTGAAGGAGACTCTTCCAGTCTCAAGTGTTCTGCAGCCTCTATCAAGTTTTATTCTGTTTGCCCAGTATTTAAGCTCCATTTTCACATCAGTATTGACCAGCTTCCCTGGCCCTGCTAATGTAGTATCCCCACAGCATGATGCCGCCACCACCATGTTTCACAGTGGGGGCGGTGTTTTCAGGGGGATAGGTATCTGCTACACAGTGTTTTGCATTTAGGCCAGAAAGATGGTCTCATCTGAGCAAAGCACCTTCTTCCACATGTTTGCTGTGTTACTTTTTTGTTCCTAGGGGCGGCTGTGGCTGAGTGGTTAGAGCAGTCGTCCTCCAATGCAAGAGTTGGGGGTTCAAATCCACCAGCAGTCACATGCCGAAGTGTCCCTGGGCAAGACCCTGAACCCCTCGTTGCCTCCGATGTGTGTCCCATCGGTGTATGAATGTGATAAAGCACTGATTAGTCTCAATAGAATGATTTGTTCAATTAGCTTTGTAGAGATCTAGCAGAGTGCTGCATGAATGGGTAAATGAGGACACAGATTATAGTGTAAAGCACTTTGAGTGTCTCCATAATAATAATAATGTCATCACAATGTCAGCACTGTAGGTTCCCATACAATGGCGAAACAAGTATCTGCATTTAACCCATCCACCACCATGTGGTTCAGTGGGCAGCTATTGAGGGCGCCAGGGTGCATTTTGGGGATGAGGTGTGCTGCCCAGAGACACCACGTGATATGCAGTGACTGGGGATCGAACCTGGGACTTCCGGGTCCCAGGCCGGCTGCCCTGCCTCTAGACCATCTCGGCCCCATGATAAAGGCGCTATATAGCCCATTTGCCATTTACCATTCCTTTTATGGTCTAGCAAACTGCAAACAGGACTTCTTATGGTTTTCTTTCAGGAATATGTTCAGTGCTTTGGATGTTGTTTTCAATTCAGTTCAGTTTATTTATACAGCGCCAAGTCACAACAGAAGTCGTCTGAGGGCACTGTACAAAAGCATTCACATATATTATTAAAGACATTTACGGTAGTAAAACTTATTTATCTAAGGAAGCCAGCAGAGTTTAATCTTCATTTTGTCGCAGTCTCCCATCCTGAGCTAGCACAAAGGCAGCAGTGGAAAGTAAAAACTCCCTCTTAACAGGAAGAAATCTCCAGCAGAACCAGGTCCATCATCACCATCTTCTTCAACTGGCTGGGGTTTGAAAGGACAGGAAGGAGAAACAAACAAACACAGAATGGCAGGTCCAGGTGAACTTTCTATTGGAAGAAAGACAAAAAGCACATGTTAAGATAGAAATAATTACAATGCAAACAGACTAGAGCAAGTAAAGACAGCATCAACAGCAAAGACAGAGTCAGAGTTTCTTTATTGTCATTCGCACCTCATGTGGTACATGTGGTGGAGCGAAATTATGTACGCAGGGTCCCAGTTACATCCAACAATAAAATGTATAAGAAAAACAGTAATAACATCTAAGATATGAACTAAGAAAAACATCAACTAAATATACACTAAGCACTCATAACATAAAAACATTGAACATCAGCACAAACATGAACATGAGTCTGTGAGCAGATGACAGGAAAGACAGGAAATGTGGTCAATTTGTCATCCAGCAGTCTAAGGCTACTGCAGTTTAACTAAAATATAGCTCAGGAAACCCAAACCAACCCTAACTATAGGATTTATCAAAAAGAAAAGACTTAAGTCTAATCTTAAAAGTAGGCAATGTGTCAGGCTCTCAGACAGAAACTGGAAGTTGGTTCCACAAGAGAGGAGCCTGATAACTGAGAGATCTTCCTCCCATTCTGCTTTAGGAAACTCTAGGAACCAAAAGTAAACATGCAGTCTGAGAGTGAATTACTAGGAAAGAATGGGACATTAAGATGTGCAATATAAGATGGAGCTACATTTGAGAGCTTTGTATGTTAGAAGTAAGATTTGGAATTCTATACTGTATTCTGTTCTGAATTTGACAGAGCCAGTGGAGAGAAGCTAAAACTGGAGAGATATGATCTCTCCTACTAACTCATGTTAAGACTCTGGCAGCAGCATTTTGGATTAACTGAAGACTTTTTAATGAAGTTTGTGGACATTCAGATACAAAGTAGTAAACAATTGCAATAGTTCAACCTAGAATTGATAAATGCATGAACCAGTTTTTCTGCATCATTTTTGGACAATTTTTTTCTAATCTTAGTTATATTACCGTTACTCAGGAGGAGGAAAGCGGTCCTGGTAATATATATATATATATATATATATATATATATACAGTGGTGGGATGTAACTAAGTACAAGTTCTTCATTACTGTACTTAAGTACACTTTTCATGTATCTGTACTTTACTTAAGTAGAGTTAAACATGGGTACTTCTTACTTGTACTCCACTACATTTTACATTAAGTATCTGCACTTTCTACTACACTACATTTCTATAATGTGTTGTGTTACAAGTTACATTCACGTTGCAACTTTTTTATTTGTTTGTTAATTTGAAAGTAACCGATGGCGAGAGGGGAGTTGGTCAATTGAATCACTGCAAAGTGGGCAGGTAACATTAGACCCACCTTCAAGAAGAGCTATATTCTGAGCTGGGCGCACACACAGCACCGCTAACACACCCAATATGGATTCCACCGAGGAAAGTCAGCCAGAAGATACAGTACGTGCCACTCATGGCCTTATTGAAAGACTATTGAAAGTCTATTGAAAGACTATTGAAAGATTATTCATTCACAGATTCTCTCTCCCAAAAGAGCCAGGCTGGACTTAAAAATCATTGAAAGCCAACTTCTTCTGAACTTGAACAAGAAATTTCCTGATGCATGCTGAATAATCCAGGTAGAAAAATCTAAAAAACTGTGCCTGCAGTCAACCTACTTCACATATGGGGAGCAATATTATAGGCAGAAACATGGGTGTGCTATGGGGTCTCCAGTTTCTCCTATTGTTGCCAACCTGTACATGGAGGAGGTAGAAAAGAGAGCCTTGACGTCCTTTTCAGGGACACCACCAAGTCATTGGTTCAGGTATGTTGACGACACCTGGGTTAAAATCAAATCTCAGGAAGTCCAACATTTTACTGACCACATCAACTCTGTGGATAAATACATCAAGTTCACACGAGAAGATGTAAAAAATGGCAGGTTGGCTTTCTTGGACTGTGAGGTCTCAGTCTCTGATAGAGGACATTTGCAAACTGAGGTGTACCGCAAACCCACCCACACAGACCAGTATTTGCAGTTTGACTCCCATCACTCTTTGGAGCACAAGTTAGGAGTCATCAGGACTCTGTACCACAGAGCAGACAGCGTCCCCACTAGCTCAGGAGCCAGGCAGAAGGAGAAATCCCACACAAGACAGGCTCTAGAGCAATGTGGATATCCTAACTGGGCCTTCCTGAAAGCAGAGAAGAAACCCAAACAGGACTCCAGTCAGCCAACAGGTGAAAAGGAGGAACCCAGACCCAGACCAGTGGTCATTCCATATGTTGAGGGAGTATCAGAGAAACTGAGATGTTCATTTTCTAAACATAACGTCCCAGTGGCTTTTAAACCCCAAAATACATTACTGCAAAGACTGGTTCATCCCAAAGATCCAGTCCCCCGGCACAAACAGAGCAATGTTGTGTATGCTGTTCAGTGTCAGGAGGGTGATCAGTCTTACATCAGGGAAACTAAACAACCACTGGCCAAAAGGATGGCCCAGCACAGAAGATCAACATCATCAGGCCAGGACTCTGCGGTCTACATTCATCTCCAGGCCAGCGGTCACTCTTTCAGGGATGAAGATGTTCACATCCTGGACAGAGAGGAACGATGGTTTGAGAGAGGAGTAAAGGAGGCCATCTTTGTGAAAAGAAATCGTCCATCGTTAAACAGGGGTGGAGGCCTCCGGGTTCAACTGTCCCCCTCTTGCAATGCTGTGATTGCTAGTATCACTCAGCCCTCTGTGAATAGTAAACAGCCATCAGTGTGCTAATGATCCATTGTTAGGCTGATGGTCCTTCTTGAGCATGTGATCAGCTGGTTTTGGTTGTCAGCAGGAAAACTGGTTGATCCACTCTGAGACGGTGCTATTTAAGAGACTGAGCTGAATACAGCACCTCAGACTGAGGAAGTCTCTCGGATGAGAGATGAAACATTTCTACATTTTTTTGTTGATTTTGCTTTGTTTTGGTTTTTTGAATGTCCAGAGGACCAGATTTAACTTTTTTAGATGAACAAGAAATTTCTGCTGCAATATTAAAATGTGTCAGTTCATGGGTTGTTAGGACAGGAGACAAGAGATGTCTCCAAATGACTCGACACTTTGTCCAAGTTATGAAAATGGTGTCAGGAAGTTAAAATATTGTTCACTGTTGACCCATTACAAGGTTGAATAGACAGTATTTGAACTAGAGTTGATGACAAACTGGAGTTGAAATGATCAGAGCCTGTTCCTTTGTTAGTTGTGTCTAATGCTCCTTTTTTCTGTCAGACAACTTTTACTTAAAAGTTTTTACTGCAGTTAAAATGACACATTGGTTTTGCTTTGTGTTAAATAAAAACTTTCAAAGGTATAATCATTCCTCTTTCTTATTTTGCTTAATGACATTTAACTTTGCATGTCATCCCTGAAATTATGATGCTTAGAATCACAAATCCAAGTGTGAACTGTGTCACAGAGTAAACACAATAAAAACATGTATTATCTGCAGCATCGTTCATTAAAATGGAACAACACTATTAATGTATTACAGAAAATATACATACGGTAGGTACACTTAATGTTACTGTAGACCATTGCATTAGGTAATACATTCAACAAGTACTTTTACTTTTAATACTTTTAAGTATTTTTAAAAGCAAGTACTTATTTACTTTTACTTAAGTAAAAATGTTAATGTGGTACTTCTACTTTTACTAGAGTACATTTTTGTCTGTTTATTTGTACTTTTACTTAAATACAGTGTTTGTGTACTTTCTCCACCACTGTATATACATATATATTATTTTATTTATTTATTTATTCCCCAAAATAGCACAAAGTCTTTTTACGTTAGAACTGGAGGCCAAAATAATGCCACCCAGAGGAGGAGAAAGGCTGCAAAATTTATTCCTAAGATGCTCAGGTCCAAAAACCACAACTTCTGTCTTGTCTGATTTTAAAAGCTAAGGGTCCTCCAGATATGTTTTTAAGACATGCTTGTAGTCTAAGTAACTGACTGGATTCATTGGATTTCATGGATAAATATAACTGTGTATCATCAGCATAACAATGAAAATTCACCCCATGCTTTTTAATAACTTTATCTAATGGAAGCACATATAAAGTGAAGAGTATTGGTCCAAGCACTGAACCCTGAGGAACTCCATGACTAACTTTGGTGTATTAAGAAGATTCGTTATTTACATTTACAAAATGGAATATATCAAATAAATATGATTTAAATAATTTTAGAGCCGTTCCTGTAACCCCAATATCGCATTCAAGCCTCTGTAGTAGAATATTGTGATCAACTGTATCAAATGCAGCACTGAGGTCTAACAGGACCAGTGTAGACACAAATGCATTGTCAGAGGCCATGAGAATATCATTAGTGACTTTCACTAGTGTTGTTTAGGTACTATGATGAGCTTTAAACCCTGACTGAAACTCCCCAAACAGATTATTTCTTTTCAGATGTTCGCACAACTGATTTGCAACTATCTTCTCAAGAATGTTTTAGAGGAATGTTAGATTAGATATAGGTCTATAATTGGCCAGATATCTTGAATCAAGATCTTTTTTTTTTTTTTTACCAAAAGTTTAATTACAACAACCTTAAAGTGCTGTGGTACATAACCATTCATTAGAGACGAATTAAGCAGATCCAAAATGTGGACATTAATTAGGGGAAATACCTCTTTGAACATTCTTGTTGGGAAAGGATCTAACAGACATGATGGTTTGGATGAAGCTATTATTTGTGGCAATTCAGAGAGCTTAACAGGACAAAAAAAAAATCAATTTCAATTCAGTTTATTTATATAACGCCAAACAACACACCACAACAGAAGTTGTCTCATCTGACAGGGAATCAGAGGCAATAGTAGGAAGTGTGAATTTTCTCTCTGATTGAAATACTTTTATTTATAAAGAATCTCATGAAGTCATCACTGCTTATAGCTGTAGGATACATGGCTCAATATAGATGGGACTTTTCATTAGTCTAGCTACAGTACTGAACAGAAACCTGGGGTTATTTTTATTCTCAACTATTAAAGACTAATACTATACAGTTCTAGCTTCACGGAGAGCTTTCTTATATGGCAGCAGGCTATCTCTCCACGTATTTATTTATTTTTTCATGAGAGGAGTGCCATTTTCTCTCCTGGTTTCTAGATGCCTGTTTTAAAGTACGCAACTTAGAAATGAACCAAGGAGTCAGCTTTCTCTGAATGATTACTTTCTTTTTCAAAGGAGTAATTTTATCAAGTGATGTTTGCACTGAAGTTGTAAAATTATCAACCAGATCATCTAACTCACTGTTCTCTAATGCGTTACTCTGCAAGACAGAGGAAAATAACGATGGAAGAGATTCTTTAAATTTGGTTAAAGTGTTCTTTGATTTAATCAAATTGCACTTGTTAAAACCAGAAATAATTTAGTGGTTTGAACAGTTATTTTAAATTACTTAGGGATTTGTTGATATATTCAACAAGATAACTTAAAGAACTCTCCCATCAGTACTATACCGTGTCTTGTGAAAATGTAAAAAAGTCCAAAGTGTATTTACAAAGCTCTGCATTAGTTTTCAGACAGACAGTCAGTAACAGTTATGTGTTCATTTTCTATGTTTCAGACTCCTGGTCAGACAGAACTCCCCTCCATGAAGCAGCTTATCAGGGCAGACTCCTTAATCTCAGGACTTTCATCACTCAGGTAAACATAGTACCGGTACTTAATGAGTTTTACATCAGTCGTACATGAAATAAGATGAATACCTGACAGTTACTGCATTTTTTGCCTGCAGGGCTTCCGCGTAGACACACTCACCATGGATAGAGTCTCTCCTCTCCATGAGGCTTGTCTTGCTGGGCATTATGCTTGTGCCAAGTTCCTGCTGGACAACGGTGCAAATGTGAGAACTTTTAAATAAGATTTATTCAAAGTTTATTAAAAACGTAAACTTGCAGGTTCTAGTTTGTCTGAATTCAAGCATTGCGATTACACGTTTTGAGTAGTCACAAAAAAAGTTTAATTGTGTCATCCGTACATTTTGAGTACTGTATTTTCCGCCGTACCCGTCGCACCGCCCTATAAGTCTCATCAGTCCAAATATGTCTAATAAAGTGGAAAAATCCATAAATATGTTGCTTCGCCATATAAGTATCATCTATTATACGTCACCGCTGACAACCCAGAAATGTGGGCCGGTGTGCAAAAAATTGATTGGCTGCCAAATGGCGGCCGCGGGAGTGTGCACGGGAGAACTTTAATGAGAATTTAACAAGATTAACATTTAAAAACAATTATTTGTTTGCTCAAAATTATAGCAAAGGTGTGTCTCAGTCTAACTTTTCCTTAATAAATGCAGTTTAATGGTCAAATGGTCAAATCAGCTGCATTTCAAAAGCCCATTTGCAGCTGCGGGAGTGTGCACGGGAGGACTCGCTGTGCAATTCTTTAAAATTTAACAAGATAACCACCTAAAAACAATTATTTGTTTGCTCGGCTTTATAATAAAGGTGTGTCTCAGTGGAACTTTTACTTAATAAATGCACTTTGACGGTCAAATCAGCTGCATTTCAAAAGTATTTATGGCCTCGGTGCTCCGGGAGCGCGCAGAGGGAGGAAATCAGGAAGTAGTAATGCTGCGCATTTCTTCGAAATTTAAGAAAATAAGCACCTAAAACAATTATCTGTTTGCTCACAGGGTGTGTCTTTTGTGACAAGGTGTGTCTCAGTTGAACTTTTACTTAATAAATGCACTTTAATGGTCAAATCAGTTGCATTTCGCCAGGGAGGCGCAACGAATTGAAGCTGATTTGACGGTTGCTCCAGGTGAACTGGATTAAGGTGTCAGGCTATGGCAAGCCGACTGTGTCATTAATAGCCACTTTTACCTATTACATCACACAACGGCATGCCATACTGCTCCCGTGCCATATAGCAGCTGAAAATAATAGTGTTCAATATTTTCAATCAGAATGAATGAAAACTGTCATATCTCAGCAAAAAATTGGTTTATAAATATGGGGAAAAAATCCATAAATGGGTCGCTTTGGCGTATAAGTCGCAGGACATGCAAATTATTGCAAAAAACTGTGACTTATAGCCCCAAAAATATGTTAGTTCTGTGTGCCTATGTGAGTGGTTAAATAAATCTCATGTCCCTTGTAGGCAGAGGCAGTTTCAGCAGATGGTGCCACAGCTCTTTATAACTCCTGCAGCAGTGGAAGTGCTGCATGTGTCAGACTCCTCTTACAGCACGGTGCATCCATCTACACCACCTGCCAGCTTGCTTCACCCATCCATGAGGCTGCCAAAAGAAGTGTGTTAAAGACGACTGAGCATAAAGGCTTGACGTGTTCCAGCACAGGTTTGTGCTGTATGTCTGTTCCCTGTATTTCTTTTTAATTTTTTTTGGCTCCAGATCACAGAGATTGTCTGGAACTGCTGTTGGCCTATGGAGCTCCTATTGATGTGGAGCTGCCAGATGTGGGGACCCCACTGTACTCCACCTGCATGGCCCGAGCTGCAGCATGTGTGGAGCTGCTGCTACGTTCAGGTAACAGTCTACACTGAAGTATCAGGAACATTTAAAAGAAATATACACCTTGTGCTCACACATAGCAAGAAACATGCTCAAGTTGAGCAACAAAATGTATCAGTATTTTTTTTATAAATGCCACAGGTGCGTTCTGACAGAACAATGGTGTAGAGCAGGGCTATTTAACTACACTGCTCAGGGGGCCACAATTACTGAAAGCCAACAGATCAGGGGCCGGACATCCATCAGTTAAAATCATTATGTAAATAAAGCAAGTATTACAATGATCTGTTACCTTTTAAATTAGTTTATTTTGCTGCATTGAATCATATATGCAATAAACAGAACCCCAAAGTGTAATTCAAAGAAATTAGGTTTCAAAATTTATTTCCTTGCAATAAAAGTATTAATATTCTCGTGTGAAACAATATTAATAACAAAAAAGACACACTATGTCTCCTAGTTAACACAAATATTATTCTGCCATCTCTGACTTGCCGAATCTTTATGTTAAAAACAAAAAAAAGTTGACTGTTTTTTATGTTAAACAGCAGGAGTCCTTGCTGAAGAATGCTTGGCCTGGCTTGGCCTGGCCTGGCCTGGCCTGGCCTGGCCTGGCCTGGCCTGGCCTGGCCTGGCCTAAGTCAATGTTTTCAGTGGGGAAGGGTCTCTTCTTAAAGTGTTCTTTTAAATGCTCATGAAAATGGTGAAATTTATGATGGGCACATACAAGCATTGCCTCTCTGACTGAAATATTTCCATTTCCAATTGTTTAAAGGTCCTTCTCACAGATGTTTTCTAGTGATGGCAACAGCAGTTCTTTTGAGTGTACTGACTCCCTAGAATAAGTTCATTAAATTGATTCGGTCAAAAGATTCATTCACCAAATCCTTCAGTTCATGCAGTTTATTTGTGCAGTATGTGAGTGAGTGACACAAAGCCACTTCCAGCATAGTAGTACGTGACCAAACCACTCCTCAGTGGCAGTTCTTTGCATGTGCGCATGTGCAAATGGGCAGTTTGTTCAGTGAACGAATCACTCCCCTGCCCTCTCTGACAGACTCCCCTCTCTGTGTAGCCTATATTCGCGAGTGACACAACAGCACGTTCACTAAACCTAAATGCAAGTCCTCTTTCTTTTATGATGATGATGATTATTATTAAGATGTTAATAAGAACACAGAGCATCTGGTCTATAGGAAAGATTGAAATAAAAATTGCGGAGTTTATCAATAAATGTAAAAAAGATTGGGAGATGAATAAAACCATAAACGTTGCAGCTGTAGTCTGCCTGCACACTCAGCCACCCCCGCTTCACTGCTGCAGCTTGCCCTGCTTTGAGTCTCACTCGCTCTTCTTCTGTCTCCTCTCCTCATTACTTTGTGTACTTTAATATGTTAAGATAATGGGGGGAGGGGGGGCTGCTTTTATTTTCATATTCATTCATTCATTCAACCTTTATTTAGACAGGTTAATCTCATTGAGCCTCGGTGACTCATTTACAAGAAAGACTTGATTTCTTAACAAAAATGATGACAACAACGGATACCAACGACAACAATAGACAGTCATAAAATAGGCATAGGCATACAAATTTAAGTTTCTCTCTCTTTTTTTTTTTACTAACCAAAACAAAATGGCAACCAAAAGGACAATCAAGAGGAATAGTAACAAACAAAGCCAGATTATAAGGCAATTTAGAAAACTAAAAACAGGAACATGTCTGTGTTGGTTTTTGCCAGGAACTTAAGAGAGTTTTAAAGTCACTTAGAGAGGTCATGGCCTCCCTGCACTGGTTACTGGTTCACTTTTGAATCCAGTTCAAAATACTCTTGTATGTCTACAAATCACTGAACAGTTTCGCCCCCTCCTATCTCTCTGATCTGCTACAACCGTATGTCCCACCACGTTCCCTGAGGTCAGCGGACCAGTTGCTCCTCACAGTTCAAGGAACTCGTCTTAAGTGCAGAGGTGACAGGGCCTTCTCTGTAGCAGGACCAAGACTCTGGAACGAGTTACCTCTGTCTGCTTGTCAGACAGGCCCCCTCCCTCTCGGTTTTCAAGTCCCGTTTAAAAACCCACTACTATTCGGTAGCTTTCAACACCAGATGATCTGTGTTTTGAACCTGTATGCTCCACACTGGTTAGTCGTCCTTATCTGCATCATTTTTATGTCTATATTTCTGATTTACTTCATTTTGTATTTTGCTTTGTAAATGGTAAATGGTAAATGGACTGTACTTATATAGCGCCTTTCTATCTTATTAAGATACTCAAAGCGCTTTACAACACAATCTGTGCCTCATTTACCCATTCATACAGCACTCTACTAGAGCTCTACAAAACTAATTGAACAAATCATTCTAAAGAGACTAATCAGTGATTTCTCACATTCATACACCGATGGGACACACATCGGAGGCAATGAGGGGTTCAGTGTCTTGCCCAGGGACACTTCGGCATGTGACTGCTGTGGGGTTCGAATCCCCAACTCTTGCATTGGAGGACGACTGCTCTAACAACTCAGACACAGCCGCCCGCACTCAGCCACAGCCGCTTGTGTGTTGTCTGTTGTTCTGTCTGTACAGCACTGGTTGGCCTTGTAGCTGTTTTAAGTGCTCTATAAATAAAATGGTATGGTATGGTAAGGTTGAGAGCTTCAGGTCTTTTTGTAAGATATTCCAGGAAACATGAGCGGAGTAGGAGAAGGCTCTTTTGCCTAGTTCAGTCTGCATTGAGGGAACACTGCATGTAATAATGTCCTGAGAGCGCACGCTGTAGCTGCACTCACGCAGAGACATGTAGGAGGAGATGTATGAAGGCAACAGACCAAGAAGTGATTTAAAGATGAAAATGTACCAGTGGGAGAGCCTGCGTGAGGTTAGTGATGTCCAGCCAACTAGTGAATACAGGGTGCAATGATGGGTACGATAGTTACAGCCAGTTATGAATCTTAATGCACTGTGATAGACAGCATCCATCATCTGCAGGGTGCTTGTAGGAGCATTCATATAGATAATGTCACTGTAATGAATGGAGGGAAGGAAAGTCACAGTCACAAGATGTTTCCTAGAATTCAGAGTTCGACAGGATCTATTTCTGAAAAAGAAACCCAGTTTTACTTTCAGTTTCTTTACCAAGTTTTCGATAGGGGACTTAAAAGAGAGATGCGAATTGACCAAAATACCCAAATATTTATAGAATCGGCAAATGCAATAGGAACACCATTTGAGGATAAAATCAGAGGAAGAACTGATGGGACTGACTTCCTGTTTGGAAAAAAGCATCCCTTTGGTTTTATTGGCAATTAGGACAAGTTTGAGACGGAACAAATCAGACTGGATGATGTCAAAGGCGGATTTCAAAAGCTGGAAAGCTTTAACAACTGTTTTAGCTCGACTATAAACAACTGTGTCATCAGCATAGAAATGTAAGGATGCATCAGGGATGCTTTGACCTACATTACCTATGTAGATTGTAAAGAGGGTGGGTCCTAAGACTGAGCCTTGTGGTACACCATTACTGACTGTTAGATAACTGGAGGACATACCATTATGTTGAACACATTGCCTCTGATCTGAAAGATAATTAGAGAACCAACCAATGGTATATGGCTTGACTCAACATTAGCCATTAGCCTGGAGTAACAGATGCCATTACCAATGGCATGAGAGCATGTCCCCGGAGGAGGAAACAGTTAGAATCACTCAGGACAAAGATAGAGTGTGTTTCGTTCAATGAGTGATACGTGTACCCGGTAGTTCATTTGCAGTGAACGAATCACAAGTCACATTCGCTCAGGGGTCAATAACAGTCCCTCCCCACCCACACGGCACAGATTCACATCATGAAGGAGTCGCAGAACACGGAGGTTCCACTCCTGACCCGCACTCTTGCGTCAAGCTCAACTGAACTGAGAAAAGAACAAATAAGTTAATAAAGTGATTTGGTTCAGGTCAGTCACTCAAAAGATTACCATAGTTCATTTGAACGAATTGTTCATGAACGACACAAGACAAATGGTTTCTGATTATTGTTTTTTTCTTTCTTTTTTAATGAAGTCATCAGCGGGGCCGAACTTATGTGGCCCATGGGCCTCCAGCTGAATAGCTCTGGTGTATATTCTCAGTCATCCTATGTAGTTAAATAGAAGACAACTGGTCTTCTCTTGGTTCTTTAAGACATTTCACCTTTCATCCATAATGCTACTTCAGCTCTGATTATGGGTTGGGAGTTTTAGGTTTATAAGTTATTATTATGATCACAATTATAGAGCTATTAGGTCACATGAGTCACTCACCCACCCCTCCATCAGGTGAGTCATTTGAGTCGTTTTTGCTGCCGAGCTTGTGTTCAGGGGTTTTATTCTTGGGGTGACACAGTCTCTGTGGGAGAACATTCTTGGGTTTGAAATGCACCAGAAAATTGGGCTTGGAAAACAATATTTCAGATTTTTCAATACACTTACAATCACATGTGTGTTTTCTTGATTTCCCCGATGCCCAGTTAAGGTGTCTGCAGGTTTGGAATGCTTCCTCGACACGTTTGTGTCCCTTATCCTTTTTTTCTGTCCTCACAGAGACCTATTCTGCTCAATGCAGTCAAACTCTGATAACTGAATCTGAGTTCCAGTAAGTGGTAAGAATCAAAAAGCAGATTTTGGTCTTTGTGCAGGTTTCCTGCAGACTTCAGTGTTGAGGTTTCTACTCCTCTGATGTACTAAACTGTCCAGGAAAATGTAAATTGTTGTGTTTTGAATCCTCCCTGAGGATGATGTTCACTGAGATAATGTGTTCAGTAAAAGCTTCCTCATCTTTGACTTGGATTTTGACCCTTGTGTCATCCATGAGCCTAAACCAGTGGCTTAGTGTATTCCCTGGCAGGAGTTCAGGGCTCTCTGTTCTCCATGAAGAGATTGAGCACAGTGGGTGAAATTGGGGTTTGCACCACAGACCATGCTTCTGTCTGTTAAAGTTACCATTGCAGTTATCTTAGCAGGATTGAGTAGTGGTCCTTTTTCCTGATATATACTTAACATTAATGACTACATCCTGATGCATGCTCAATAATCCAGGTAGAAAAATCTAAAAAAGTTAAATCTGGTCCTCTGGACATTCAAAAAAACCCAAAACAAAGCAAAACAACAAAAAATGTAGAAACGTTTCGTCTCTCGTCCGAGAGACTTCTTCAGTCTGAGGTGCTGTTTTCATCTCAGTCTCTTAAATAGCACCTTCTCAGAGTGGATCAACCAGTTTTGCTGCTGACAACCAAAACCAGCTGATCACATGCTCAAGAAGGACCATCAGCCTAACAATGGATCATTAGCACACTGATGGCTGTTTACTGTTCACAGAGGGCTGAGTGATACTAGCAATCACAGCATTGTAAGAGGGGGACAGTTGAACACGTAGGCCTCCACCCCTGTTTAACGATGGACGATTTCTTTTCACAAAGATGGCCTCCTTTACTCCTCTCTCAAACCATCGTTCCTCTCTGTCCAGGATGTGAACATCTTCATCCCTGAAAGAGTGACCTCTGGCCTGGAGATGAGTGTAGACCGCAGAGTCCTGGCCTGATGATGTTGATCTTCTGTGCAGCAGAACAGCACCTCAGAATGAAGAAGTCTCTCGGACGAGAGACGAAACGTTTCTACATTTTTTGTTGTTTTGCTTTGTTTTGGGTTTTTTTGAATGTCCAGAGGACCAGATTTAACTTTTTTAGATTAATGACTACATTTTTCTAGAAAACTTGTCAACAATATTACCTCCCACTGGTGATGACTTATTATTTAACAAATAAAAATCAGCTGGGCATATTCACCAACTTCATGTCTTGGAATTGTGTTCCTGTAGCAATAACTTAGACCTAAGTAAATCAAACAAACATATTTTATGGTTTTACACACGCACACACACACACACACACACACACACGCACGCACGCACGCACGCACGCACACACACACACACACACAACAAGAAAACTACAAGAAAACTGTGTCCAAATATTTGCTGATGAAACAAACTATGACTGACAAGCTCAGAAAAAGCAGATCCATCTGCAGCTTTTGTTCCTGCTGCAGCCTGATGGATTTTAATTTTTTTTATCCCTATGCTGCCCTTTTCTGCACCCCACTTTCTCTTTCCATGGCAACAGAAATCTGTGTTTCACAGCTCACAGCAGCACATGCATTTTATAGCTTTTCTACTCGGTCCCATTTGTAGAAATGTCATATGTGGCAGCTAATTATTTAACATTAATCATAACTCTGTTCCAAGTTTTCATCTCTTCACTTTTTCTTTAGTCACTGGGTTTTTTTTCCAGTCAAGCAGATGCTGAGGGCGTTTTACTGTTTTGTAGTTTTACTGATTTTTATTTTTTTTTTGTATTGGCCATTGGCGATGGCAAATCAATGTTTTTCAAGTTCAAGTTTCTTTATTGTCATTCACATCACATGTGGTACATGACGTGGAACAAAATTGTGTGCTCAAGGTCCCAGTTTTGCCGTGTGCATTTATTTGCCTTTACTGTAAACAAAGTTTCTTGTGAACCAGAGGACAAATTTTAATGAAACTTTCAGACAGTATCATTGGATGAACATCTACAGATGATTAACTTTTGGGCTCATCCTGAGTGTGGCTGCCACAGCTAAACAATCTACACAGAAATGGCTACAACTCCATGATTTTACAGATATTGAGCCAAACTTTGGTGAGGTAGTAGCTGAGAGTCATTCATAACATCCTCCAAGCACCAACGGATCATAAGTGATATTCCACAAGAGTGAACAGAATGTAATTTTCAAGGTTTAACAAACGACTACGCTGTCATTTCTCAACATATGATGTTTTTTGTATAAAACTTGAAAGGTGAAGGGCAGTATGCTTTCCTTCTTGAAACGCTCATCTTTTAATCCTTGTCTGCTTTTGTTTTCACATAGGAGCAGATGTCCACCTTGGATGCGGACAAGACAGTCCTTTACATGCTGCAGCTCGAGCCGGAGAGTCAAAGGTGGTTGAACTCCTGTTGGACTTTGGAGCTGACAGGTCCTACAGGAACGCAGATGGAAAGACCCCTTTAGATCTTTCAGTGCCCAACAGCACGGTTCAAGTTGCTCTGCAGAAAACAGGTGTGTTTTATGATTTACTCAAATCCTTGTCCTTGGCTTGTTTTTCTGATTTATTTATTTGTGGTTAGTTTTAGCAGCTGTGTCCTCCTTCCTCGGCTTAGGTCCTCGCTCTTTGTCCCAGCTGTGTCGTTTCTGCATTCGTCGTAGCATCGGATGGAACCGGCTGCACAAAGCCTCCAGCCTCCTTCTCCCGCTCAGTATCAAGGACTTTCTCCTCTACCAATAAGACGTGAGGCTGGCTGCGTGCCGCATCAGCTGATTCATCCATCATATTTGTTTTATTGTTACTGACCTATAAAAGACAAAAAAAAAAAAACCTCAGAGAGATGGATATTTATTTATTTCAGGATACAGATGGTTTTACCATTAAAACATTTTTCATTTTAGGAACCACTTAAAGGAACAACTGGACAAACAATCCAGGGTTTTGTATTTGAAATAAAGCTGCTCATTTGAAACCTGGATATCGGAAATCATTTTCAGCATGTTTTTCAAGGTGAACTGAGCCATTTCCATGGTTTTATATTTTACTCTCTTCCACATGTGCTGAATGAAACCTTTGTTGGTGGAAATGTTAGAATTGGGGCTGTAACTTCACGGGGTGCTGTCGATCAATCAATCAACATTTATTTATAGAGCCACTTCCAACATCCAAAAGGTGCACAAGGGGCTGCACAATACAAAAGTTAAAAACAAACAAAAACAATAAAAAAAATGCCAGAGAGCCACTAGGTATTAAATGCCTGCCTGAATAAAAAAAGGGTTTAAGATTAGATTTAGAAAGGCCCAGATCAGTGATGGAGCGCAAGTCCTGAGGTAGTTGGTTCCTGTAGGGCAGGCATGGGCAAACTCTGGCCTTATACGGCCCACTGAGCTTTTTAATTGGCCCGCCAAACTTATCCAAATTATATTTTAAAAACTGCATTTAATAGGGAAAAACACTGGTGTAATTTTACCTGTAGTTCTTGCATTTCTGCAGTAGAGGCGCACTACAGACACTGTTGTGTAGTCATTCATTCAACCTTTATTTATACTATTATATTGGAGGTAAAGTAAAAGTGTAGAAGAAGTAATTTCTTCTTCACTCTTTAGCGTTGCCCTACAAACTCTTCTGTAAAAATGAGCTTATCAAAGAAAAGAAGAGTGGACAGTGAGTGCAGAGTGTTTAAAATGGAGTGGACAATAATATGTTTTCACAGAGGTCCAATCAAAGTCAGTGTACGCCAAGAAACTGTTGCAGTTTTCAGAGTACAATATCAGCCGTCACTCTGCTAATATGCTAGCAAGCCTTTCGCCGAAAGCGAGTTTTTAAAAGAATGTGTGGCGTAACAATCATGCTTCTCTTGTAGCAGTCTTACAAATATACAAGGGGATTTGGTCTCAGGTGTCAGGTAAAATTTAATGATCACTCTTAATTTGTTAACAAAATAATGATTCAAACATACAGTATAATAATAATAATAATGTCATCACAATGTCAGCACTGTATGTTTCCATACAATGGCGAAATTAGTCTCTGCATTTAACCCATCCACCACCAGGTGGTGCAGTGGGCAGCTATTGAAAGCGCCCGGGGGACATTTTTGGGGATTAGACGTGCTGCCCAGAGACGCCACGTGATGTGCAGTGACTGGGGATCGAACCTGGGACTCTCGGGTCCCAAGCCGGCTGCCCTGCCTCTACACCATCTCGGCCCCATAAATATATGTAAAGGTTTGAGGTTTTTCCCATAATAGATTTTTCCCAAGATCCCCAACAACAATAATAAGAAACAAAAAAACTGATACTGAAAAATAAACTGAGCATGTAGCCTAAATCTCTCAAATAATATCAGTTTAGGCTTAAACTAACTCAGATTATGTCACAATAAATGTCCCAAAATACAATTAATTTAATCAGAATGTTGTCCATAATAGAGTTCCATACCCTCAAAATAAAAGTCCCAGAAAAATATTTCCCCGCTGCCGGCTTTAAGCCCAATCACCCCCCCCCCCCCCCGCCCCAAAAAATAAAAAAAATAAATATAGTGGTACCACAAAAACAACGTCAATACAAAAAAGTTTTGAATCTCACCGAGAGCTTTGTTTTTCTCCCTTGGTGGCGTCCTCACTCAGGGCGGTGTTTGCCTGGATGCAAAACTCCCAACATTTTCTGATCTGCGATCCATGGTGCTGGGGGTTGAACTCTAGCAGCTTCTTATGTCTTTGATTAACATCCTTAAGATGAAATCCTCCTGCTGCACGGACCTGATCACCTACGTCTCTCCTGTTGCGGATCTTTTTTTCCTTTTCCTTTTTTTTTCCCACCCCATGCGGCCGACGTACACACCAGTTTATAACTGTTCCACCTGAAACCATCCATGATCCTGCCCAACAATCAGTTTTAAACAGTGGAAAACATGGTAATCCATAAATCTCCTAAAGGAAACTGCCCTAACAACAGTTTAACATATTTACATTTTACATATTTTATTTGAAAAAAACAAACAGCATGGTTATGATCCCCACCCTCCACCCCACACCCCCAGCCTTAGGCAAAAGAGGTTGAACGCCAAAATAGGGCTTCAAGTTAACCAAATTAACTGTTTCTGTTCCTTTAAGCTGGTCTTTCCACTGCAGCTGATAGTTTACTGGGCCTAACTGTTTCCTCACTGTAGCTGGCCCTGACCACTTTGGCACAAGCTTTCAGGAAAAACTATTGCTTTGGAAAGTGGGTGAGACCTTACCCAGACCAAATCTCCCGGCCGGGACTGTGCACCTCTCCTCTGGGCATTGTAATATTTGGCTTGTATGTTTAAACGTATCCCAACTTTCCGTTTGACTTGTTCTATCATCTCATTGTGTTGCACCATCAATTCATACCCAGATTGTTGAGGTGATGGAAGTCTGGCAATCATCCTCTCCAATGGACCCTGGAGTTGACACCCAACATTAGCTCTGCTGGGGCCCTCCCAGTGGTTTCATGTTGAGCAGCATTGATGGCAAAACGGAACTCCCCAAAATGCTGGTCCCATTGATTGTGATGCTGTCCAACAAATGAGGCTATCATTGTTTTAATAGTTTTGTTTGCCCATTCAGTCAAATTAGATTGTGGATGATAGCTGGTGGTAAAATGATGTTTTACCCCCCAAGCAGAGCAAAAACTAGACATCTCTTGGCTGGTGAATTGGGACCCCTGATTTGACACAAGACCTTGTGGTACTCCAAAGCACGTAAATATCCTCCCGGAGGATGGTAATGAGCTTCTGTGCCCTGCTATCTCTTAAAGGAAACATTTCCACCCACTTCGTGAAGTAGTCAATCACAACAAAAAGGAGGACGTTTCCTTTTTTACTACGTGAAGAGGACCCATCAAGTCCATCCCAAGTTTTTCCCAGGGTTCAGTCAGGTGTGTTGCAGAAAACCAGCTGGAGCTTGATTATCCGGTTTGTACATCTGACATACTGCACAGCTGTTTATATGAGTTCCCACATCTTTGTGAACTGACGGCCACCACACTACTTCCAGCAACCTCAGGAGTGTCTTTAGCCTGCCCAGGTGCCCACTCAAAGGACGATCATGGACATATTGGAGAAACTGTGTAACTAAAGACTATGGCACCACCAGCTGATACTTCATGCCATCCCTAGATGGGCTTTTCCTATACCAGAGATAATGGACTTTGCAGAAGAGAATCCTATCAGGTTTCTGGTACCTTGAATCCTTAACCAGATCCAAGAGGGCCGAGTCTTTTTCCTGAGCTTCCTTAATATCTGCTAAAGACATAGGTAATCCTACTGGAGCTTTAGCAGAGTTCAGGGCCACATGTGCCATCCCAGTGGAGTCTACAGAAATGTTTTCATTCATTCATTCATTCAACCTTTATTTAAACAGATAAATCACATTGAGCCTCGAAGACCCATTTACAAGTGAGACCTGTTTGGACAGACAAAAACAGTGGTTAACTAGACACATGTAGGAGTTGGAGGCGAAAAAAATTCCTATCAGACTTTTTTCTTGGCTGAGAAAAACCCCTAATATTGAAAAAACACCTCGCACAAACAAGCACATATTTACGTAAACATTCTGCAGAGCAGGAAGAAGGAAGAGACGAGACCGGTCAACAACGTCTACAGATGCTCTTGAAGTCACTGTAATCAGTCAATGTCCTCCGGTGAGATCCATAAATATTCTCGAGGTATGTCGAGGAATGGCCAAGAATAACCCCTGAGTATCCAAGAGGGATTGAGCAGGATTGCTCAGGACAATGCGTCAGGCACTACATTGTACATTCCTTTTCTGTATCGAACTTCAAAATTGAAGTCTTGCAATCTAAGTACCCAGCATGTCAACTTAGAAGAGGTTTTAGGGCAATTAAAGGCCCAGGTTAGAGCAGCATGGTTGGTGTAAATGGAAAACTTGGTACCTTCTACAAAATGTCCCCATTTTTCCACTGCCCATACAACTGCCAAACATTCTTTCTCAGAGGTGGAGTAGTTCTGCTTTGCTTCTTTCAATGATCTTGAAGCAAATGCGATAACTCATTCTCCATCAGGGATTGGTTGGACCAGGACAGCCCCCAAACCAGCGTCACTAGCATCGGTATAAATTTTGAATGGTAAATCAAGTTTGGCTGCCCCAGTATAGGTGATTCCACCAAAAACTTATTCAGCATCATAAAACATGTTGGCAATCCACTGTCCATTCCCACCTTGCATCTTTCTTGAGTAGCTGATAAAGAGGCTTAGCTATATTTGCAAAATGTGAGATGAACTTGTGGTACCAGCCTACCATGCCAAGAAATCTCTGGAGAGTCTTTTGGTTGGTTGGAGTAGGGTAAGCTGTAATGGCTTGCATCTTTTCTGGATCTACTTGAACTCCTTTTGCCGATACAATATGTCCCAGAAACTTGTGCTCTTCCTGGAAAAGATTACATTTTTTCAGGTTGAGGGTCAGGTTTGCTTGATGAAACTTGACAAATACTTCCTCAATATCCTTCAGATGCTGTTCTGGAGAGGATGAGTAAACGATTGCATCATTGATGTAAACACAGCAGATCTTTTCCTGTAGCTCTCTTAAAACCTCCATCAAACACTGCATTTTTTCCAAACCAAATGGCACACATTTAAATTGATAAAGTCCAAATGGGATAATTACAACCATTTTTGCTTTGCTGTCCTCTGCTACAGCCATCTGCCAATACCCAGACTTTAAATCCAAAGTACTGAAAATGGTTGCTTCACTCATCAATTTCAACAACTTGTGGATGGTGGGCATGGGATATGCATCCTGAAGAATTTTGGCATTCAAAGCTCTGTAGTCCACACAAAACCGAAAGGATTTGTCTGGCTTTGGGACAAGTACAACAGGAGACCCCTATGAAGATTGAGATGACTCTATAATATTATTTCTGAGCATGGCATCGATCTGTTCTTTTATAATCTGACGCTTGAAGGGCGACACACGGTAGGCTCTGCAACAAATGGGTATTTCATCTGTGGTAGGAATTCTGTGTTCCTTCACTGAAGTTCTACCCAGTGAATCTGAGCATACAGTAGGACAGGCATGCAGAAGGTTCTGGACTTCTGTTGGATGCTTTGTTATTTTGGGACATGATCTGGACTTGGTGCTTTGACTATTTCCATGGACAGAGCCAGAATCAGATTAAGTGGAGAAAGTTCAGCATGCACAGATGATGTGGGATGAGGTGATGATGAAAAAGGGTAGAAGGTATAACCTTTTGGCCCTTTGACCCCATAGGTATAGTCACCTAGATTAACAATGGCAGAGGTTAGATAGAGAACTTTACTAATTGGCTTTTTATGTATGTGAAAGTTTCTGTAAAGTGCCCTGAGACAACTTTGTTGTGATTTGGCGCTATATAAATAAACTGAATTGAATTGAATAGAGGTTTTGGTCTGGAAGTCTAGACCTAAAATGATAGGAAAAGTGAGGTTATTATCCTCCACCACAAAAGTCTCTAAAGACCACATCATCCCATGCCAACCACAAGTGATTGTTGCTTTCTCCAAGGCACTATATGTCTTACCATTGGCAAGTGCAAACTTTTGGTCATCAGCTGGTTTCAAAACATCTCCCTCTCAAGCAATCTTTTTCCACTGTCCATGTCTCATCAGGGAATAGGTTCAGGCTGTATCCAGCACAGCATCATACATCTGGTCATATATCTCTATTGGAACATAAAGGTGGGAGGAGGCAGGACCTTGCTGAACTATAGATACAGAATTGGCTGGTCTTCTGGCATTTCCCTTTGGTTGTCCTCTTGCCAGCCCTTTTCCTTTGGCTTTGTGCTGTTGTACTTTGCCCCAGTAGATTTTAACACCAGCACAATCTTTTTCAACCTGGGATCCAACCTTTACTAAATGTTCCATAGTGACGACTGTACGACGAAGACAGCCCACTATTTTAGGACTGCAGTTGTTTAAAATTCTCCTCATAAGCTCTGTCTCACTGATGTCTGGCTTCCATCTTAGACATATTGCCTGATACCCAAAGGCAAAATCTCTCAGACATTGCTCTGGCAACTGCACCATATCTCTTAACTTCTCTTCTACCTCCGGAAGATAATCTGCAGGTAAAAAGGCAGCACAAAAAGCATTCTTAAATTCAAACCAGTTATGTACCTTGTTCTTAGCCACACTCCAGCAACTTGGAGCAGACCCTTTTAAAACAGTTGTTAAAGCTCCCAATAGCTCGGAATCAGACAGTGGCCTCGCTGATAGAAATGTCTCGCACTGATCGATTAAATTTTAAACATTGGAAGCTTCTCCTCCGTTTTTGAATGAGGGAAACTTCAAGTGGGTTGTTTGCTGAAGGAAAGCTCAAATGGAAGGTTGCTGCCGGGAGGTCTATTATCTTAGTGCTTGTTGAGGGCACCACCAGAACCATTCCGGGAGTGATGTAGCCAACAGTTTGTTCCATCCCTTGAGGGTGCGAGGATCCCCGGCTGCCTTGTGGCAATCCCTGCACAGGTAGGACTAAAGGTTGAGATGGGGTTCCAGGGAAAGTGTGTCTCATAGTGGAAGAGAGATGTTCAGATGGCACAGGTAGATTTGGTCTTGTCATGCCAACGGAACGAGCACAGTTAAGTGGTTAACTTGAAGCCCTACTTTGTCCTATTTTGGTGGTGGTGGTGGGGGGGGGGAGGGTGACTTCTGAGAAATCTGATAATATCTGAGAAGCCCTTCCTGTGAACCCAAAAATGATCCTTCTGAGTTTAAACTGAACACCCAAGAAAGTGCTGGTAATATTTTGTGCCGGGATCAACTAAACTCCTCAATGGTCATAAATCTCAGGATGACAGCAGAAAGAGCTGCTGTCCCTGTTCAAAGGAATTCCTTTCTGTGAACAGCCACTGTCTCCTCCTTTTGCTCCATTCAGTTGGAAGGACTGACACAGACTTTCTCCTCATATTATTGGAAAATTAACGCTTTTCTACAATGAAAATAATTATTTTACTAAATAACTAATAACTTGCCTTGTTTTTCTTTTACAGCTGACATGGAATAGTCAGATCTCACATTGTCTGTTCACAAAGTTAATGAAAAGTGTTTTAATTGATGTTAATTTCACTTGAAAATAAGATCATTAAAAATGTTTGACATTTGTGTTTTATTTGAGGACTCTTCGGCAGAGTAAATTAAAGTAATTATTTTAAATTGTTCAAAGAGTCAAACCAAATTAATTCTAAACTAAAAAGGTCCATCCTGTTCCCTGATTGGTGGATAAACATCCCCCCCCCCCCCCCCATACACACACATACGCACACACACTTTGAGTAGAGTTGTGGGTGGTTGTTAAAAAGTTGTCTGAGAGGGTCCTTTGAAAAAGGAGTTAGAGAGTCGAAGAGTCCAAAGAGGAAGGTTGAAAGGAGATCGCCAAGGAAGAAGGAGTGAGAATGTTTTTAGAAGAAGTCAGAGAAACCTTCATTATAATAGAAAGTCATTATAATATAGGGAGTATCAATTTTAGGTAAGTTTGATAGAACTATCTTCAGCGCTCCAGAGAGACAACACACCTGCAGCCGTGTCACCAAAAGAGTAAGCACTTTGGTAACAGTTTCTGTTTTAAATATGCTCTATAAATGAATCTGACTTAACTTGACTTGACTAACAGCGATCCAAATCTCGTGACTCTGTCTTCTGACCATTGGAGCCAGACAACACCGACTCAACATCTCCCACCGATGTCCAGAGACATGAAAGGGATCTCCACCTTTAACGTTGCTCTGACCATCTCAGCAGAGAGTCCTTCTGGTATCCCTGGCAGATGAGTGCTTGTGAAGTCAACTTTGCGTGGGCGAAAGCTGTCTATTACTCTGGGACGTGATTCTGATGTCCAAAATTTTAGATTTCAACCAAATTCGTGTTGACGCAGTTCAGTAATTATTTTCCCTTAAATTTAAGACCCAAATTTAATCATTGGATAAATGATGCATAAACAAAGCATCTCTCCCTTTTGGTCAAATTTGCATTGTTAATTTGCCCTGCTGAATAGCTTCAGAATATTACATTTAATAGTTGGGCATTCTATTTCGTTGGGCAGTCACATCAAATAATTCCATTTTACCTGTTAATTTCTGCTAACAAGTATGTTAAAGGTCAAGGTTAATTCCCATAAACTCCGGCTGTCAAGTAAAACCATCATTTAAATGTAAGCAATAATTTCTAATAGTTATTTGCCCATATATAGCCAAATAAACATCACAAAATTGTACACTGAAGTGTGTGTGTGTTTATTTATGACATCTGAATTTTTCATACAACAGAACTTGCGTAAAGATGTTAATTCGAGTTAATTAACCAATAACATTTGCTGAGGCTGATGTTCAGACTTTTTCTCTCAAAGCTTTGAGAGTGGTGCCCCTTCAAACTAAAATTCTTAAACAAGATTTTTACGATAATTAAACCTTCCTGCTACAGCTGTCACCTCTGGGGCGCCTACGTCAGCTGCAGCCTCCTTGGCCCCTCCATCAACAAATGCAGAGTTGCTGGGTCCATCTCCAGATGCAGAACTGCTGGGTTATCTCCAAACGCAGAGCTGCAGCCATAACTGCAATCCTTTCAATGGACTATTCTCTGGCTGAGGCTCCATTCGCTGGTTCTCCTTTCGAGGCTCCCACCACTGGTTCTTCTGCCGAGGTTCCCATTGCTGGTTCTCCTGCCGAGGCTCCCATCGCTGGTCCACTTGCTGTGGCTCTCACCACTGGTCCGCCTACTGTGGCTCTCATAGCTGGTCCGCCTGCTATGGTTCTCACTGTTGGTCTGCTTGCTGTGGCTCTCACCACTCCAGTGGTCTTCTCGCCTTCAGCCATAGCCACTACAGTGGTCTCCTCACCTACAACCACAGCCGCTCCAGTGGTCTCCTTGCCTTCAGCCATAGCCACTTTAGTGGTTGCCTCAACTACAGTCGCAGCCGCTCTAGTTGTCTCATTGCCTGCAGCCATGACCTCTCCTGTGGCCTCGTCGTTGCTGTCACTGCCTCTCCAGTGGCCTCTCTACTGGCCTCTCTACTGGTCTCCATGTCCTTCCTAGGGTTCTCCTCACCCTTCAGCCTGAGTCCAAGAGGGTACTGGTGGATACCAATGCTGCTCATAAAGGGACAGTCTCTAGGCCACCCGTCAGAGCCCGGATCTGAAGACAGATGGTCTCCTGGCTACCCACAAGAACTCTGGCCTGCTGACAGATGGTCTCCAGGCCTCCCCCCCAGATCTCCTGTCCTGCTTTGGATGTCTCCTGACCGCCCACCTTGACTCTGGGGTTTGGGGTTCTGTGTTTCCCCTTTATGTGTTTAGTATTTTCCCACGTTCCTACCTGTCAGTCTTTTGTTTCTTGCTTCTTGTTTTCATTGTGTGCCCTACTTCCTGTTTTCCCCCCACATCCCACCCAAGTGGATGTACTGTAGCTCTCTCCTTGAGATTTCAGGGGACATCCCTTCATTGGGGGGTCCTGTAGAGTTTCTGGGGTCTGGTCCTGTCTTTTGTGTTTTCTCATGTTTGCCAGTCACCCCTCAGTGTGTCTCCTCCCTGTGCTCCAGCTCTGTCTCACCCATGTGCAATTCAATCACTCACAGGTGTCTGTCATTTCACCTTCATTAGCCTCTGTATATATTCAGCTCCTTGATGTCTTGTTAGTGTCTCTGGATTGTCCTGGATTGATTCATCAGGCTTTGTGTTTTGTCTCCCTGTGTGTCCCCCTTAAGTAAGATAGCTGCTCCGACAGTATTTTGTTTAGTTTATTTAGTAAATAAACAGTGTTACTTTACTGGAGTCTCTCAGCATCTTCCTGCATGTGGGTTCTAACACGTACAGTCAGATTATGATAGTTATTGAGTCTTGGTGCAATGACTGAAAAGGCCCAGTCATTCCAACATTTGTATTTGGACTGCAAAAGACAGTAAATATGTATTAGTTGAACTTAAGGTTCTCTCATACTCATGAAAAGCTACCAGATCAGATTAATAAGGTACAAAGTAAATGGTAAATGGACTGTACTTATATTGCACCTTTCTATTTGATCAAGTACTTTACACTAAAGCACTTTACACTACACACTGTGCCCTCATTTACCCTTTCATACAGCAGTCTACTAGATCTCTACAAAGCTAATTGAACAAATCATTCTAAAGAGACTAACCAGAGCTTTATCACATTCATACACTGATGGGCACACATCAGAGGCAATGAGGGGTTCAGTGTCTTGCCCAGGGTGTAAGTAGCACTTGCTGCAGCCCCAAGATGGCTGCTGATTACCCACAGCTGACGGTCGTCTACCTGATGAGCTCCCACTCTACATAAGGCTGCAGTCAAGCTCTACTCTTCGCTGGAGCATTGATTTCTCTTTTGGTATTTATGCTTCTAGCCAGTATTACTAGAGTTGATGAAAGAAAACTTACCTTGTTTTTGTGTGCTTACTGTCATCCTGTTGTTCGGATCCAGTCCTCCTTCGCTTTTGTTCCTGTGTCTCGTTCCCTGCACTTTTGCCCTCTAGCACTTGCCTGTCTTGAACTGCCTGTTGAATTGGACCTCTCTGGAAACCTTGGACTCAACACAGAGTAAATCTGCAAATTCACCTGTAAGGAAGAAACAAGACCACACAATCAATTTCCTGTGCTGACCTCTTTGCCTGACCATCCTGATCTTGCCTTTCCTCTTCCAGGGGTTCCAGTCAACCAACATGTGTATATATGTATAAGAACCACTGTAAATAAAATAACACTGTGCATTTTTCAATTGAGTCTTGTCGTTTGGGTCTCGTTATCAACTGGGTACCTTGAGTCATAACACGGACATTTTGGCATGTGACTGCTGATGGATTTGAACCCCCAACTCTTGCATTGGAGGGCGATCACTCTAACCACTCAACCACAACCACTCTCAGGGTGGGGTGAGACCATTGAGAGATTTAAAAGTGTATATTAAAAATTGAAAATCATTTCTGAAATGGAAGAAAACGTGATCCATCTAGACAATAAAATGGACTGGACAGATAACACCAATGCCCTCTACAAGAAAGGGCAGTGTCACCTTTTTCTTCTGAGGAGACTCAGGTCTTTTGATGTCTGCAGGGCCATGCTGCAGATGTTTTACCACTCGGTGGTCTCCAGGATCATCTTCTACGCTGTGGTGTGCTGGAGCAGCAGGGTAAAGACAACTGATGCCAACAGACTCGATAAACTCATCAAGAGAGCTGGCTCAGTTCTGGGAGTGGACCTGCAGTCTCTGACAGAGGTGTCTGAGCAGAGGATGCTGAGGACACTGCTCCAGATCCTGAACAACACATCACACCCCCTGCATGACGCACTGGACTCTTACCGCAGCACCTTCAGTCGTAGACTGAGACCACCGAGGTGCTCCACTGAACAACACAGGAAGTCCTTCAAACTTTTCAACTCCTCCTGTTTTTCTGCACATTGGAAAATAAAATTAATCCTGCACCACAATAAACTCTTTAATGTTTCTGTCTGCACCTGACCTGTTTTAGAACTTAATTGTTGGTATTTTTATATTCTCTGTTATTTTCATATTCTCTGTTATTTTTTTTTATATCTTTTGTGATTCTTGTGTATGTTCCTTTGTACTGAAACTCTGGCACAACAATTTCCTGCGGGATCAATAAAGTTCTATCTTATTTCTCTTACCTTGAATACCTTCATGGTATAAAATGAACATAATAACGGCAATGCGGACCAGGCTCTGACACCGGTCATACAGGGACCTAACAGCCCGTATCAAAGGGCCCGGTACCCCATACTCCCAGAGTACCCCCCACAGGGTTCCCTGAGGGACGCGATCGAACGCCTTCTCCAAGTCCACAAAGCACATGTAGACCAGTTGGGCAAACTCCCACGCACCCTCCAGGACCCTGCTGAGAGTGTAGAGCTGGTCCAGTGTTCCACGACCAGGAAAACCGTACTGCTCCTCCTGAATCCGAGGTTCGACTATCCGACGAACCCTCCTCTCCAGAACCCTCGAATAGACCTTACCAGGGAGGCTTAAGAGCGTGATCCCCCTGTAGTTGGAACACACTCTATGGTCCTCCTTTTTGAATAGGGGGACCACTACCCCTGTCTGAACATAATGTGCTATTTAATTTAATACCGTCAGATGTCACACAGTATGTTTTATGAACGACTCAACAACTGTCAGACAGTTTCACAAGATGCTCATTTCAACGTCTAGTGAAATTGTCTGACAAAACAGGTATTTTAGTGTTTTCTGTCACTTGACTGCTCCAAATGTACAAAGGAACTAGTTGAAGCAAAAATATATAACTATTAGCTCTTTAAGCTACTCTGCGGTCCCCCCATTGTGAAGCTCTGCCAGTCTAAGGTCCCTCCTGGTTTAATAATTGTTATTTTTGTTTATGTAAACACAAGTGCAAAAACCATATGTTTAGTGTTGTTTGAAATTACACCTTGTTTTATGCTGAAATTATAATAATAACTCTTTAAATACTATTTGTTTTATTTCTTTACAAGTTTGTGTAGCATTTGTACACATTTTGTATTTCAAATATCTGAAACGTTTTGGTTATTAATTTATAACATGTTTAGTAGAGTTAACAGGGATTAATGAAATACATGAATGCAAGGTTTGAAATAGAAAAAAGTAATAAATAAATGCACTATTTAGGGTATGAAGTGTTGTTTTTCCACATACATGAACTGAACGTCGCTCTCAACGAAGACTCTTTCCCTCTCCTGCCTTCTCTCCTGTTTTTTGCTCTTGTCCTGTGAATCTCAGAGCCTCTCTTTACACATCTTCCGAATCGAAAAGGACTATGGATCTGGTCAGCTGGTCTCTCAACGCAATTGATAAAATTTTCTCAACTAGAAGACAGGGTCCAGGAGAACCGTCATGCCCTGAAGGGACACACACAGCTGGATATGTCATGGATTCCTGGGGTGTTTGGAAGATGATGTTCCTGTCTGTGCTGTCTGTTGAGGACGTAGAAGACGTTTACAAAATTGGATTTATGATAATAGGGTTTCTGTTTTTGGAATTGGCATACCTGGGATATCGACTAATTAGGAAGACGTTGGCAGCAGTTTTGGCAATAGTAAAGCTGCCCACCTTATGTGAAGGATTACTCCATGCTTCAAGCTCTCAGACTAATATGCTTTGTGAGCTGAACCATAAGATGGACGCAATTTCTGAGAATCGTGGGCCACTTGCAGATCCTAGGTCTCGCCAGCGTGAAGGAATCGACTTTGGAGAAGGCTAACAAGCACGGACCGACGGAATGTCCACAAATCTGGCTGTTTGGATTCACCATCAAGTGTACCAGGAGAACCGAAGACAGACAGAAATCAATGGTTAGCCTGCTCAAAACAATTGTTTTTTATCTGAATATGGCCTCCCCGCTGGCCTTGGATAGGCAAACTTATTTCAAATTGCTCCTGGTGGATACTGAGAGACACCGTAACATCATTATCAGGACTATGGAAACTATCTGGAAGTGTTCATGGACCATCTCACCATCTTGTTGTCGCCCCCCCCCCCCCTTCTGCAAAATGTATTATGTCTCTCTATGTTGCTTGCTGAGGTAGATTTTTTGCTACCTTACACCGTGCCCTGTGTCAAAAACACAATGTGAGATCTTTTTTTGTATACCATCTCATGTTTTCTTCTCCTTTTCTTGTCTGTGATAAGGGCAGCACTTCATAGAAAGCTGCAGCCCCGGTACACTTCCGTTTATCCTTCAGATGGCTGTAAGGAACAAAATGTTGCTTTATTTAACTGTGCAAAGACAATAAAGTTAATTCTGATTCTGATTTTGAAGCATTGCATTGACAAGAAAAGGCCTGAAAATGACCAAACCTTGGAGGGGTATCTGCAATTGGTCAGTTGCAAAAGTCCATCTAAAAATTATTCATTGAAATTTTCATTAAAGTCTGTCCAGTGGTTCATGAGATATTTTGCTATTAGACAGATTTAACGCCCAAGTTATTGATCTTGTGATTTATTAATGCTCAAAATATGTGTTGGGCATCTGAAGGAAGTAAAGACCTAACAGAGTTTCAGACAGGACTA